TCCAAAATACGGCTTATATATATATATATATATATATATATATATATATATATATATATATATATAAATACTTGTATTCTGGGTAGAACGTATTCCGTAGAGCGCTCAATTCATTTAATTGAAGAGCATTGATTATTAATAATCACAGGAGTTCAGGCTTCAGGAGTAATCATTGATCGTTTATTGCGACAGTGCTGTTTCGTATGGTCCGAAATTGTAGGACCACACTCATCAGGCAACTTCAACGATTGACCGTTAAAATTAAAAGCTGGCAGTAAATATAGGGATGCGTTAAGAGATAGTATCTAGGTAACAGATGGATTGTGTCTTAGTTACGTTACTCTAGAGTTCTGAAGTACATATCTGTTTCTGTGGGGGCATAAACTTGCTAGTTCGTTTCGCCTGTTTGGGCTACAAAGCTCTTTTTTACAAATGATGATAAACTTTTCATAAAGACAAAGATTACATTTTTTGCTAATGTTGCTATAAGCTTTACATTTCTTTAAAACTTTCCATTTTATCTGGAAAGGTTTGTTAGAGTCTTGTAAAGTCCAAATATATTTTGATAGTTCCGTTTCATTTCTTCTGTTTGAGCGTCGAAAGGAGGACTGATGGTTTCTGTAACGTTCCTCAAAGTTTGTTGCCAGTCCGACGTAAGTTTCAGTTGTCGTCGCTGTAGTTACAGTGGCTTGGTAGATGACATTTGATTGGAGGCATTTTCCTTCGAGTGGACAATCTGGTTTCTTTCTGCAATTGCAGGTGTCAGGTTGTTGCGTTGGTGAGTTGAAATTTGAAAGAACGTACTTGTTGTGTGACGAGATGACAGATTTCATGTTAGGCATGCATGAGTAGCTCAGTTTTAGCGTGTGTCTGTTGAAAATCTTGTGGGGTGGGTGGTTTTTTGGAAAGCATTTGTCGACGATGTGCAGAAATTTTCTTCCAAGGTTAGTTCTGACGTTTGAGTTGAAAGGAGGGTTGTACCATGTGATGTTTCTTGTTCGTTTTCTTTTGTTTTTCGGAGCTTTCTCTTGTGGGGGGTTGTATGTTAACTTGTGGTCGTATCCGCTTTCTGTTAGAGCTTTCTGGTAAGGGGCAATAGATTCGTCAAATACTTCTTTGCTGGATGAGATGCTAGTTAACCTTTTGTTAATGTTGAGTGGGATATTCTTTAGTAGTGCAGGGGGGTGGTTGCTCTGTTGGTGGACATAGGACAGTTTATTATTAGGCTTCATGAATGGCTTGTAGCACCCGTTTGTGAGGTTGAAGGTCACATCAAGAAAGTTGACGACCTTTTTGTTAGCTTCGATTGTGATTTTAAGGCCATTGGATTTGAACAATTGGCAGACTTCTTGCTTGGTTTTTTCAATTTCTTTTGGAGTGGCCTTTGCAAATTGCGAGGCCATCGTCTCGGTACAGACCAACTTCATTTTTGAATTTTGGTGCTATCAAGGATAACATGTAGGCGCCTATTAACTCGCACGTTTCTGCTCCGTCGTAAGAGCCCATGGTGACATCAAACATGTTGTTTGCGTTCTTCTTGGTCCATGGAGAATTTTGGTGGTAAAGGAGTGACTTTTTTTCGCGTGAGTGATGATGTGGCGGTCTTGTTGTGTGATGGTGGTGAATCGTGAGGCATAGTTTAATGCTTTCAGTAGCAGGTCTTCAGATATGGATGGGTAAAATCGCAGACGTCAAAGGTGATAAATGCGTGTTTTCCTTTTCCGGTATATCTTTAAACCATTCTATGGTTTCTTTGGTGCATTTCCACAGGTTCACTTTAGTCGCTTGTGTGATTTCGTGGTTTATTCGGTCGAGGATATTTTTGCTGATGATGCCAATTTCGGATTTGCATGGATTAATGAGTCTGCAGGTCGGGTTATTTATGAAATCAGGTTTGTGGTCTTTTAGCGTTATGAATGAGTCTCTGGGCGCTGAGGCCTCAATGCGGTCTGCAAGTTCCAGTTTTTCTGCGATTATCTTGTCTTTTAAAGTGATCATGTCCGGCACCTTTGGGTTTGTCTTCTTGTATGTTTTCGTGACGTTTTTGTCTACAAGTGTCATGTAGTCGTTGGGTTCAGTTTTGTAATAGTTAGTCGTTTTGTCTGCTTTGACGAAGATGTTCTTCTCTTCCTTTATTTCCTTTGCGTCTTTGCTTAGCTTTTTCTGAAGATCGTTAGGGTAAATGTTGGTTTTAAATTCGACTCGCTGTATCATGTCAAGTATGCAGTCCTCAAACTCGTTGAGCTCTTTTACGTGTGGTGGAGACCGTTTCGATTTAAATCCGTAAGTTTCTTTGGTAGCGTCATCAGTGTTCTTGTTGAGAAAAAAGAAGGCTTTCCAGCGCATACGTTGAATTAAGGATTCTGTTTTAGCAATTAGTGTTTGAAGAAACGCATTTTTACTTGCCAGCGGGATGTTCTTCATTGAATACTCGAAGTCCTTCACTTGGAAATTCATTCTTGACAGCGCTCAACTGCAGGGCAGGAGCTATGTAGATACTTGTATTCTGGGTAGAACGTATTCCGTAGAGCGCTCAATTCATTTAATTGAAGCAAAAATATCCTCGACCGAATAAACCACGAAATCACACAAGCGACTAAAGTGAACCTGTGGAAATGCACCAAAGAAACCATAGAATGGTTTAAAGATATACCGGAAAAGGAAAAACACGCATTTATCACCTTTGACGTCTGCGATTTGTACCCATCCATATCTGAAGACCTGCTACTGAAAGCATTAAACTATGCCTCACGATTCACCACCATCACACAACAAGACCGCCACATCATCACTCACGCGAAAAAGTCACTCCTTTACCACCAAAATTCTCCATGGACCAAGAAGAACGCAAACAACATGTTTGATGTCACCATGGGCTCTTACGACGGAGCAGAAACGTGCGAGTTAATAGGCGCCTACATGTTATCCTTGATAGCACCAAAATTCAAAAATGAAGTTGGTCTGTACCGAGACGATGGCCTCGCAATTTGCAAGGCCACTCCAAAAGAAATTGAAAAAACCAAGCAAGAAGTCTGCCAATTGTT